TCTTTAGCAAAATTAAAACTAAATTGAGATGATCCTCTAAATGCGAAATGTTAACCTTAAAACAGAGAAAACTTGCTTGTAAGAGTATCTATTTCATCATCTCCACAAAAGAAAAACACAACTTATGGGCTGAAACTAAGTCTGGTTCGTATCTATATTCAGTTCCGGTATAAGACATAATTTGCCAAGTTATAACGCCAAGAAACCCAAAACAATGTCAAGAGCAGCAGCAAGATCAGAAATGCCAGGTCCTACTTATAAGAGGACAGTGTGGACAAACCCCAAGGAAGCATTTTTTAAGAAGAAAGGGTACTATTCAGACTAACCTAAACTATGAATCTGAGGGTGGCAGGAAACGTTTCATGGAGGCTGACTGCAAATTTACTACTGAGTGGATCAAGTGACAAAAAGTGAATACAATTCTCAGATTTATGACATTTAATTCAAAAATAGAGGTTCTCCTGAAATAAAATTCAAACCATTGGGAGAATTTCCATGTCAGAAGATAAGATTTATAACATTTTCATCATCAGCTTAAAGTATAAGGCCATTCTTATGTCTCTGATTTTGTGGATGTTCTTTGGATTACTTCACTTGCATAAATCTGTTTTTCCTTCATACTGACTGATTTGCTACAAGTCAGTTGTAGTTGCTTTTTAATATTTCTATATCGTTAGTAATTGGCTTTCAATGTACGACACTGTATTACAGTTCTACTAGCTCTTCATTGATCATTCATGCCACAAGGATAAATGGTTATGTATAACAAAAAATAAAATCGTTATAGATCAATTTTTATTCCCTTCACTTCTCTCTCCCCACATAGCTTCCCCCCTCCCCGGCCCCGTTCATGCTGTCACTCTCTTGGACTCACTGACTGAATTTTACACAGTAGCATATAAAATTAAAAGTTTCTTTTCTAGAGTCTTTCCTTCTTTTAAAATACATGCAGATTATGTTTCCTATAGAAATTATAGAGAAAGAAACATGAAGATATATTTTACTCTATCAGTGAAGTTAATAGGCTACATAAGTATCTCTTTGGGGGGAGAGAGGTTGACAAAATGATCAAGAAGGTGCACAATTTCCTGACTCCTCTTTCCCCAGTCAGTGTGCATGGTCATTCTTATGCATAGCCCTAAACTAAGTAAGCACACAAATGTCATAGCAAGGAGAGAGTGAAAAGCAGCAATAATGTAGGCTCAGTTTACATTTAAATTGGACTGGATCGGATTGTGTTTTCTTGCTCTATTCTGCATCCAGTTCTTGTGCTAACTTTCATTACTTACTTCACAAAAATCTATCAAATTATATACTGGATGCTTACTATGGACTTGGCTCTGTTTGCAACACCATTTTCTTATTTGGTTAAGATATCTTGCCTAAAATGAGCTCACAGTAGAATGTCCCTCATTCATCCAGCTGATGAGATATGTGGGAACCTTAGCAACACTAGCTATTGGGATAGAATAGAAGACACGTAGTTAATATATTTTAAGTTCTGTAGTAGCTTACACTTCAATGCCCTTAGGTTGAGGCTGCTGGGAAGAGGTACATTGGCAGGCTGAGTAAAAGGGCCATACACCTAGCATGCAGACTATGATGAGGTCTGAAAGAGTAAATTCTCAGGTAAGAGCTACATTGAAGCCAAGATTCGTGACTGTTTTGTTCACTACTTGATAAAGAATCTGCTAGTTACCTAAAACTATCCATTCTCCCCTTCCTCCTTTAGCAATAGAAACTGTGAAGGTTGCATTTGATATGGCTATCGAGCTAATGACTCTATTTTAGAGGCTCACTTGCAATTAGTTGTGGCTATGGGACTATGATCTGGTAATGGGGTATGAGCAGTAGTCACAAATAATTTCTAGATATGGCTCTTAAAAGATGGACATGTCTTCCCTTGGCCTTTCTCCTTTCTCAATGGCTAGAATCCAAAACTGAAATGAGACCTGGGGTGGCCTTGTGGTCTAAGAGGTGGAAGTCATATTTTGAGGATAATAGAGTAAGAAGTTAAATCAACACGGCTCAGCCATTGAGCCAAACCTATAACACCTATCCAAATTTTTAATAAAGTAAATAAACTGTGCTGTTTAATCCACTTTATTTTTCAATTTCTTTATTATAGTGTCTTATCCTACTTAATATATCTTCCCCCAGGTGCCTGGGACAGTGCCTGACATATAATAGGGTCTCGTTAATATTGTGCACCATGAAGGGGTAGAATAAACTCACACTGCACAAGTTTTTAAGCCTGAGGCCCAGGAGTACACACAGGCAAGGACTAAGTTGAAACTGTCCTAACCATGGTAAGCTGATATGAGAGAGGGAGTGCTACACCTTATGCCTTTCCCTCACCTGTTTATAACACACCGCAGTTCCTCATACCCAAGTTTCATCTCACAAGGTACCATTCTGAGGGTTTAGAAAAGAAAAACACTCTAACTCTACAAAATGAAAGAGGGCATGAAATGGGACAGAATAGAAATTAGCTCGTGTACATTATAAAACACGACTCAAAGTATTGTCATTCTGCGACAGTATAAACAATATAAATTTGAATGTAATATAATTAAAAAAAAGTTATCTTATCTAAATTTAAAATTTCAAATCATAAGAAATTAAGTATGCTTTTAGTTCATCTGTCTTTTGTGACTTTCCCTTTGACAATGCAGATGTGGGCTAATAGTACTAAATTACAGAAAATTGTAACTGTTAATTGTTACAGTCTTGCCTCCAAATAGGGGCAATAAAGCTTTTAACTTAAGTATGTTTTCCATTTAAGTTATTGTTGGGCTCAATGGTTTTTGCAACCTAGATTACTTCATTTGAGTATCAAGTTTCAGGGAACACAATCTCAAAATCACTTCTCAAGAACTGTCAATATCTCAGCTAAGAAAGACAGTATTGGGGCACCTGGGTGGCTCAGTGGGTTAAGGCCTCTGTCTTCGGCTCAGGTCATGATCTCAGGGTCCTGGGATCGAGCCCCACATCCGGCTCTCTGCTCAGCGGGGAGCCTGCTTCCCTTCCTCTCTCTCTGCCTGCCTCTCTGTCTACTTGTGATCTGTCTGTCAAAAAAAAAAAAAAATTAAAAAAAAAAGACAGTATTTATAGAGGATAACCAGAAGTAGATATATTATTCAAGACACTCAAAAATCTATGATAGGACTAAACCACACAATTAGAAAGAAATTACCCTTTGGTAACATTATTTTTAGTTAATCATTTTTGTCACCATACTATCCTAAACCTATGTTAAATAACATTATTTTCAAAAAAGGAAGAACCCTGGGTAATTTATTGGGTATTTAATATACAGATATTGTCATATGAAACTGAATGCTTCCTTTTCCGATTAACTTAAGCAAAAAAAGAAAAAAAAATCTTTCAGGCAGGTCACAGTATCAGGAACAGTTGGACTTCTCCTGGACTGTGTGTGTGTGTGTGTGTGTGTGTGTGTGTGTGTTTCCCTTACGGACTCTAAGGATCTCACAATTTTTTGTGACACTTGTTCATATCGTATACTAGAGTTCTTAGAGCCAAGTTTCTGGATCCACCATTAAAAAATACATAGAACAAGAAAGATAACTAGCCTACTGGAATTCCTGACATCTTAAATGTAAGTCCTCAAAAAAAAAAAAAAATAGAACAATGCTTCAGCTAATTTACATTTTACTTTCTATCCTTGGTTTCTTTTTGTTTTTTGTTTTGATTCATTTATCTTGCTTATTTTTAATATAGGTCTTCCTACTGACTTTTTTTTCTTTAAATCATCTACTCAAATCTTTTTCTGGAATTGTTACTTATAAACACATGAATTTTTTTTTAAGATGTTCTTGCTTAAGAATTTTTTGTTTAGTTTCACACTTACTCTTGTCATTTTTATAACAACTGGTTGGACCTAGGTTGCTGTATTTCCTTGTATCATTGCTCACCACATTCTTATATCATTCTTGGTAACTTAAGAATACACTTGACCTTTTGTTGTTGTTAAGAGGAAAATGGTATTTTCTGAGTCTTTCCACACTTGTCCATATGTTTAAGTGTGACTTTGGCTCATAATGTGAACTTGATGGGATATGATATTCTTTTGGCATGTGTTCTTATGGAGAAGACCTACATAGCCTTTCTTTTTTAAGTAAATAATCTATGTTCTCCATCTGAATGCCTATAGGATGGTTTCTTTATCTTCTTCAACATTTTTCTGAAAATAGTAATGGGCGTGGACCTGTTTTCATTCACTTTGCTTGGAGTGTGCCATTCCATTCCGTGAACTGGGTTAACTGTTTTTCCCACTCTGGAGAATTATTTTATGTCTTGCATTATTGATTATTGCTTCTTCTCGATGTGTCCTACTTTCTTCTTGGAAAAATGACTTATCTCTAATTTCATAAATATCACTCTACTTGAAATTGTACTGCCCCATCAACCCCCATTCCCCTTCTGATTATTTTTTCTCTACAGAATAATTACCATCTTTGGTTTTTCCACTCCTTACTTCTTCCTCACACATACTCCCATCATGATCTCCAGCATTACACAGCTTCAAAGGCCACTGATATGCTGTTATATTCCGAATTTTACCTCCAGTTCAGACCTCCCTCACACACCCCAGACTAACAAGTCCAATTGCCACCCAACAATTCCACTTGGATTTCTAACTCACGTCTCAAACTCAACATGTCCGAAATGGAACTCTCTCCCCTGAAATGTGCTCCACCACAGCCTTCTCCATCTCAGTAATTGCCAATGCCCCCCTATTTTTTCTCAAATAAAAAGCCCTGAGGTCCTTCTTGACACCTCCCCCACACACCTCATATCTTAAGTGAATCCTACTGGATCTGCCTTCAAAACATAGCTAGAATCCAGTCATTTCTTTCCAATTCTAACTCTAATGTTACCATCCAGTTTGTGTCACAATTGCTTCTCACCTAGATAATGGGAAGGTCCTCCTAACCAGATTCTGTTCCCCTCAAAGAAAAGCCATATACCCCATAGACCTTGGCACATTGCTGGGTCAGCATTATTTCTTCTACATGGGGATGTCATCAAGTGAACACTCTTGAGTTCTGACACCTGTGGTGGAGTGATATCTTCATATCGTGACCGGAATGGACCACTCCTTAAATGGTTGTGCCATCCTGAGGAATCAGGAAAAAAGAGGATTGATGTTTCAGCAAAGAACTAACTATCCTCCCAACTTGAACTTCCACAGCCTCAGATTGGGTACTTCCCTCACTACGTTCTAGCAACTATTTCATCACACAAACCTCCAGCTCTCTGTAACAATTAGGGGGGAAGGTCTTCCTTTTCCTCTAGCTCAGGGTCAGCTGTTGCAACTTCTTCTTTGCAAAAGAAAATAAAACAGAGAATTTACAGATTTTTTTTTGCCTTTTTTTTTTTTTGCCTTTTACCTCCTCACCAGTATTTGTGCTAGTGCTGCTATAAAAAAAAATGCTAAATATGTATGGGTATACACGCATACACACACACATACATATATGGGACATATATAGCTATAGCAAGACTAGATATGTTTATTGAACAATTTCAGAATCCAGTTAGTGGCAATATTTGATTAAATATCTGTGGGAGGAAACAGTCTCCAAATTTATTTATTTGTTTATAAAGATTTTATTTATTTGTCAGAGAGAGAGAGAGAGGGTGAGCGCGAGTGCACACACAAGCACGGGGAGCATCAGGCAGAAGGAGAAACAGGCCTCCTGCTGAGCAAGGATCCTGATGCGGGACTCAATACCAGGACCCTGAGATCATGACCTGAGCTGAAGGCAGATGCTTAACCAACTGAGACACCCAGGCATCCCTCAAAATTAGTATTTTTAAACTAGGTATTTGTAATATCTGATTTTTGAGGAATATGTAATACTCCATTTTACTGTTCAAGTATATTAGCTAAAATAGAAGGTTAAGATAACACTGAAGTAAATTAAGAAATATTTAACCTGTGATAGTACCTGAATTTTTTGTACATTTCTAAAGAGACTAATAATCAATAAATAAGTATTTATGGACTGCGCATTTAGCACATTATGGAGCCCATGAGGAATTTGGGAAGATCCCAGTTTCTTAAAACAATTAGACATCTCAGGAAGAAAATACTAATAAATGAAACAGATTCCAATATGAGTCACTTAACATTAAGCTGTGCTGCAGGGAGTCTCAATGATGTGAACTCTGGAAATGCCATCTCTGTTGGAGTTGTAAATACACCGCACCCAAACTAACTTCCTACTACCATGAAAATATCCAGTCTGTCCGTCTTGGTAGGAGACTGTACTCCACATGATCACTTGGATGGAGGAGAGGGTGGTCTGAGAGCAAGAGATGGATTAATGATGGTTCCTAGGTTTTTAGGCTAAGCAATGAGATAAATCAATTACTGAGCTTATGGGAGGAACAAGTTATATCAGAGTGACAATAAGTTCAAGATGTCTGTGAGAAAGTGTCATATCAAGTGGACACTTGAATATGAAACTTTAGCTCAGACAACATACCACCTACTATGGAAAATGGAGGTTATATGCCTCCTGTTACCATTTCTTGGTAGCAAGGGCATAGATAAATTATTGAACCTCCTCCAATTAGTGTCCCCACCCTGAACTTTGAGTCTTCAGGGAGTGAGACAGGAATATAGGAATAGTTTCTCTTCAGACAGAACTGGATCATCAATTATTTTCCTCGTTTACCCTTTAAACCCTTCTTTTGCACTTAGAATTGAATGCAAATGCTACATCAACATCTACAAGATATGCATAACTTAGTCCTTATTTAAAATAATAGTATGAAACACATATCAAGTGCTAGGCACCATTTTATATACTCATGACAACCAATGACGATGTACATATTCTCTCTCTTTCACAGGAAGCCTGGGGGAGTAAGTAACCTATCTAAGGTTACACAGGTAGTGAGAAGTTGAGCCATATTTGAACCCAGGCTGACTGGCTCCAGAATCTGGGCTGTCATCTACTACACTGTTCTCCATGACTATACTATTCTATTCTATTCTATTCTATTCTATTCTATTCTATTCTATTTTTCAGTCTTTCAAGATTCATTGTTTATGCACCACACCCAGTGCTCCATGCAATACATGCCCTCCTTAATACCCACCACCAACCAGGCTCACCCATCCCCCCATGCCCCTCCCCTCCAAAACTCTCAGTTTGTTTCTCTGAGTCTACAGTCTCTCACGCTTCGTCTCCCCCTCCGACCTCCCCCAACTCACTTTTCCTTTCCTTCTCCTAATGTCCTCCATGTTATTCCTTATGCTCCACAAGTAAGTGAAACCATATAATTGACTTTCTCTGCTTGGTTTATTTCACTCAGCATCATGTCCTCATGATCATTCTTTCTTGCCAGAGAAGGGAGAAGCGCTCTGGACTTCTAAAATGTCTTCTAGCACTAGCAGTCTATGAGTTTACTGAAGTGCTTTTTTTATAAGTAGTTTTTCCAGTTCTGCAAGTGTAATGTTTTAAGAATTTTATAATAAACTAAACCAAAAATGATTATCTAATTTAATCTAAGGAAATGACATGGATTCTTAATCTGCCTTCTATTCTATCCTACCCTATCTTATCCTATCCTATTCTCCAATAATACGATCCTCTGCCATACCTATTAACTCAGGGAAAAGACAAAAGCTAAAACACCTTGTGACTGAAGCTTCTGTTGCTGACGCATTCACAAATAAAATCCAACAGTCATTCTGTTTTACCAAAGCTGACTGTGAAATTCTCTCTCTCCCATTTAAAATGTATATTAAGGGGTGTCTGAGTGGCTCAGTGGGTTAAAGCCTCTGCCTTCAGCTCAGGTCATGATCCCAGGGTCCTGGGATCGAGCCCCGCATTGGGCTCTCTGCTCAGCGGGGAGCCTGCTTCCCCCTCTTTCTCTGCCTGCTTCTCTGTCTACTTGTGATCTCTCTGTCAAATAAATAAATAAAATCTTTAAAAAAATAAAATAAAGTAAAATAAAATGTATATTAAACAAAGTACTGTAAAATGTTTAAGTGAATCTCTATAAAATATCTGGGTGCCCGATTTGTCATGTAAGAATCAATATAATGAACATAAGAGTGAATAAATGTTACAAGAACCAACAAGTGGAGTTGATTTTTCCTAATAATTCTATCAGAGTATAGGCTATTTTGGAGAATGGCCCTGTTAAAAAACAAACTAAACAGAACTCATTTGCAGTGTCTTTTCTTCAGATAGTCTGAGCCTGCCAAGATGCTTCAATTTAACATCTCTGTCTTTCTCTTCAGAATATTTTTAACAATTATTTATCCCCGGCCCAAAAACTTGGCTGTGAAATTAAAATTGTCATTAAAGTTGCTTATGACTACTAATGGCTATTTTAATTTTTCTGTCATTGTATGTCTTTCATATTCCATGGGAATAGTTCCACTCTTGAACAGAACTGCATCTAAATGGTTCCATTATAATTAAAGCAAAGAGACTGTGATTAATATTTGCTCTTAACACACAGCTGATAGTGAAATAGAAGAGTATGTTTTCTTTGATAAACATTGTTCAAGGTTCTAAGACCTTGGAAGACACCAAGAGGATGAGACAAGACCAGTGGATTCTTGTTTCCTCACTGTCTCACTGTGCTCTATCTAGAACTGAATCCAAAAGAGAGAAGGGGACATCAGCCACATTGAAGGGCAGGCATGGAAGGCTCGGACAGGCCTTGGAAAAACGGCAAAGGCCTTAGTACCACAATCATTCCTTTCTTAACAACTTTCTTTGACTTCCAATCCCAGCTTTCTTTCCAGTTTGTCCCAGTGTCCTTCGTCTACCCTGGGGCCCTCCCTTCCTGAGAAAAATGTCATACAAACGAATTCACTTAAAGGTGTTAGTGAGCTAATGTGTTACCTCACCTTGAGGCCTCTGCCTTCCAATAGAGGAGCCTGGAGAGGACAATGCCAGGCCCCAACTTAATGAGTTACCAGTGAAAGGTTTAAAGCATGACTATGGAAAGAATCAAGTGGTTTTGGAGGAAGCCTCTCCTGCTCCCCTTCAAACCACTTTTCTGCTTATTTTACTCATTTTTGGTACAAAAGTTTAGGCCCACAGTTGGCCACAAGCAGTTTGCAGAAGGAAACTCATTCTCATCACTTAGGAAAATGCTTGCAGGTTCCAGATATTGCCAAATTGTGGCATTAAAAGCAGTCACAGGCAAAACTTTTTTATCTATAAACCTGTCAGATGAGATAACTTCAAAAATGCTTTCAAGTTTATACATTTTTGAACTTTTTTATATTACTGATCTGATTCCTTCATTTGATAGATGAGGAAACTAATGTTTCCAAAACTCCCTGAATCCAGTCCTTTCCTTTCAGATTCATTCTCCTGTTCACATGCCCCATAGCTATTACCATGTGTAAGTTCTCATAAGTAAACTGATGTACTTACCTAATGTATATTGTAGGTTGATGCAAGAATTTCCAAAATATAATCACATAGCTGTCTAACCCATCCCCGCACCGTCTGTTCACAGGGTGATACTTCTAGAATATAAATCTGATCATGTCCTTTCCTTACTTAACATTCTTCAGTTTTCCCAACTGCATTTAGAATAAAATCCAAATTCCTTAGTATGGCACACAAAGTTAGTGATCTAAACTTTGTGTCATTTCCAGACGTCCTCACACCGCTTCCTTCTCCAGCCCTGTAAGACTCCTCCCAAGCCCCCGAGCAGGTCACAGAGGCTCCTGCACCCCTGCCGTTGCCCATGCTGCTCCCAGAGTCTTTCCTATCTTCTATCCAGGTGCCCGTCTAGAGTAAAGCTGAGCTAAAGGGTACTTCAGAAACATTGCAGTGTATGCTTCCTGTAATATTTATAAATATTCACTTCTGCTGAGGACAATGGAGAACATGAAGCATAGAAATAAGGCAAAGAAAATAGATGACATTACATATGGAAATAAGTAACAAAAGGACATCTTAGACATCACAAAAGTAAGTAGGAAGGGACAGAAAAACTATGTAACATCAAATAGCCATGGGGCTCTCAGGGAATTCCATATTCATGAGGTCTTGGGCTCCCTGTTGGTAATGTCCTACCTGGGCCTCTTGTTCTCTGGCCCAGAAAGATTAAAATCCATAGGTGCTCAGAAGATAAGAGTCAAGTTCTGGCTGTGGACGACACCATTTGCCTCTGTAATAGAGCAAGTTATTTGACCTCCAGGCACCCTCCATCACTGCTCACCCTTACCTTGGACCTCTTTAACCATCCCATCAGCAAGGAAGGCTGACAGAGGGACAGAGAGGGAGAGATCACTGTGAACCTGTGTATTGCAGGACCTGGGGAACATGGACCTCCCTGCATGCTTGCAACCTATTCTAGTATATTAACCTACTTGACTTCCTTTTCTTGCTGTGTGTTTTGAGTTAATAAACCATGTGACATGTGCATTTTAATTTGGTCTGTGGGCTTGTGTTTCTCTCTGGGACAGACTTCCTGGAAGTGTAGCGGGAGGCTCCCATGGCAGGGAGGTAATTTCCCAACCCAGAAAGCCATCCTGTCATCTCCGACCAGGTCCACAGTCCTTCCTTGGCGCTCTGTGAAAACATCTATGAGAGCAGTTAGCTCTCCATGTTACAAAACTGCTTTCATATTTTACTTCTCATTAGACTGGGACATCCTTGATGTCAGGGACTAAATCTTCTTACTGCAAGCACGTAGCATAATTAGAGACTGACCTCTTTTTGTTAAAGAGTCAAAAAACATGTTGTAAATAATTAGTGCCACTTGAAACCAGAATTCGGGTCTTCAGAATGCACCATCAGGCAGAACCAGAAGCTTACAGTCTCTCAAGGTCTTGAGTAGGGAAGAGTGAGAATAAAATGCATCACTTAAAGCTATGTCTTCCCGGAAGTGTCTGAGGTGGGGAAGGCAAAGGTATTGATCTTGGCTAACAATAGGGAAAGACCGAAGTCAAATAGAAAACAAATGATGAGCTAGGATTTCTAAAATCCTACCAGGGTTCAAAGCCTTTTGCACAGAGTAATGGAATCAGTGTCCCCCAGATATCTTCCTCTCCACCATCTTGAGAGGCAGGAATGACAACATATATCATCTTCACTCTAATTCTGGATAGACCATATCTGTTAGATGAACACTAACCTCGATTAAAAGTTTCATGGCCAGGGCACCTGGGTGGCTCAGTGGGTTAAGCCGCTGCCTTCGGCTCAGGTCATGATCTCAGGGTCCTGGGATCGAGCCCCGCATCGGGCTCTCTGCTCAGCAGGGAGCCTGCTTCCCTCTCTCTCTCTCTCTGCCTGCCTCTGCGTCTACTTGTGATCTCTCTCTGTCAAATAAATAAATAAAAATATTAAAAAAAAAAAAGTTTCATGGCCCTCCACCCAGTTCCTTAGTCTTGTTAGGACTTCAGTGAGAGTGACAGGGATTTTTAAAATTAAATGCCTATAGAGGGAGAGGTAGCTACTTACAACAGTCTCTTTGAGCAGAAACCGAGGCAAATAATCTTGGTACTTTTCTGCGTCCCACTGAGTGCAATTCTTTCCGTCTCTTGTGATTTAAGTCTTTTATCATTGACCCCCACATATGAAGCCTGATTCTTTTTCTCTATCAGTCTTGGTCAGTTGTTCCAGCTCTCTCTTTCACTCTTTTCACATTCTTTTCACTCTTGATCTCTTCCTTATTTTCACTGTTTTTTCCTTCTTGTCTTTTTCTCTTCTCTTTCCAGCTCTTTTGGTCCTCCAGCAGGGTCTCAGAAAATGTGATTAGGAAAGTATCTGCAAAAAGATAGAAGTGCAAAGCAAAAGCATTGAGTTCCAGGGGGCGCCTGGATGGCTCAGTGGGTTAAGCCACTGCCTTCGCCTCAGGTCAGGATCTCAGGATCTCAGGATCTCAGGATCTCAGGATCTCAGGATCTCAGGATCTCAGGATCGAGCCCCATTGCAGGGGGCTCTCTGCTCAGCAGGGAGCCTACTTTCCCCTCTCACTCTGCTTGCTTTTCTGCCTACTTGTGATCTCTGTCTGTCAAATAAATAAATAAATAAATAAGTCTTTAAAAAAACAAAGAAAAGCATTGAGTTCCAAATGAAGCGGGGATTTCCCCAGCCGGAGTTGGCACCCGCACTCTACCAGAACCCAACCGTAAAATTCTTCTAGAAAAATATCAAGACATGCTTCATTTTAATGTATTATTAATTTACAAAGTAATCGGGATGCTCTGAAACTTTTTTTGAGAAGTAGTAAGAAAGAAGAAAGTGATCTTACATTAAACAGTGTGCATAATAATTTGGGGGAAGTGTTGGGAGTTGGTATCTTAAAAATGTTCTTTTTCCCTATGTATGAAAAAAAATTTAGTTCTTAACCTACGATATGCATTAAAATATAATCGGCAACCATAAAACATAATTTCCGTGCATTTTTTCGACGTAAAGATATTCTAAATGTTAAAATTAAAAATTTAAACTTTCAAAGGTATTTTGGAATAGTCACATATTTTTAAAAGAACTGTTTTACATTGCCAAACATAGTTCTAAAATTGAGAAAGCAAAATTCCAGGTCACTCAGTTTTGTACAAAATTCTACTAACATAAAATAAACATTTTCCCTTAAAATGGTAGTATTTTGATATATTTTCATAAACATTTTTCTTTTGCATTCTACAATAAAGAAAAAAGAGAGAATCTTCCAAAAAACCTAACGTTTGAATGCCAACTCATGTATATTTTTCAATTAATAAAAGTGACATAAATCAAACAGGCATACCCAAAATGACAGTCACAGATTGTGCAGTACTTTTGCTATTTTGTTAGTTTTCTTCTTCTATAAGTTTCTTTAAAAACAAAGTTCTCTAGGAAATTGTGTCCTCTTGTGGTCACTGGCAAAAACAACATGTTTTGTGCAGGAAGAATCAATCAAAACAATGGAAATAGGATTTAAGGCTTCAGGAAAAGCCATTTGTGAAAAAAGGAAATCCCTTGAAGTGCAGAGAGATGAAAGTTATGAGTAATCAGAAAAGCAACTTTATCTTGAAAAACACAAAATATAAACCATTAGATTTAGATTTAAATTGCTTGATGATGAAATAGAGAAGATAAAAATGCTTACTAAGCAGGAAGCCTGTGGCAATGATACAAGCCTCCATGAATAACTACATATTTCTTCCATTATTTTTTCAGTTATTCCAGCAGCTCCCCAAAATAGGTGAGAGTGTATTTCACCAAGGTTAACCGGCAGCTAAGGAGGGACCCGACCTCTCTAGCCTGTATAGCCAATAAGCCAATAAAGGTATGTGTGTGGGGGTGGGTGCTGGAGGCTGTTCAATACTCCGTACTTTCCACACGCAGATTCCACTCTACATGCAAGTTCAGCATATCATGCTTCTTTGCCTTATCCTCATTTGGAATGCAGAATGTCAGATATTTTAAAGATTAATTTATTTGAAAATTTGATTTGCTCATTTGAGGTGCTCTTGGCAACTCAATTTCTTATGCCATACTCTTTTTCATTTTATTTCTGGACTGGAAGTGTCCCGTTTTATGATTTTAGTTCCTTAAGGGGTTCAGAAGGAGAAATACAGAATCAGTTAAATTCATGAATTAAACTATTATTAAAAGAAAGAGAAGGACTTATTTAGCACAAGGAGTTCAAACACCATCAAGGCTGCCTGTGTTGCTAAGAATCTGCTCTACACAGTCAGAGAAATCACTTGTGCTGACACAAAATTTATATTCCGCTTTGATAACATTCTCTTACTTCACTATCAAACTAGGCAATCCCTGTGGAGTGTTCAAAACAAGATGAAATCTAAGATGTACACTCTAATTCAACTGCAGCCTTTTCCAATTTGCGCCCCCTTCTGTGTGAATGCTCCTGTGCTCTATTCATGCAATTCAGAGAAATTATTTCACAAAACTCTAAGCCAACCTGCAGGTGGTAGGTCATCCCAAGACTAAGAAGAAAGACTAGGAACAGATTCAAATACTCACCTTTTGTGCAAACCCAGTTCCAAAATTTACTGTCTTGCCAACAATTCTATATAGCGTATAAATGTTTCTTTTCCTTCTCTAAAAGTATTTATAAATGATTGTTGCTAAGAGAATGCCAGTGCATATACATTCAAACTGGAAAAGTACAGATACATACATACTTACTGCATATGCTCAGTATGAGATTCCTAACTTTGTTTCTTCTAACAGTATTTTTTTTTCAATTTTTAACACAGCACACATTCCTCAGGAAGGACTGCGAGCATGCCAAGTTTGCAGTTTTGAAAACAAAGCTCGTTTTGAAATATCCGAGTGCAAAAGAAAAACTTTTTTGTTTTCAGTTAATTTTTTTTTCAGGGAATTTATTTTAGAAGTAGACAAAATGATTTAATTCCAATTAATCCAGTATTCCCAAAGAAGGTAGTTCTCCACTACCGTCCGTCAAGTCAAGCTGAGTTCAGCCCCAAAGGGAAATTTCTAAAACAGTTTTTAAGAGCCTGAAATTAGGATTCTCGAACTAAGTCTGCTTTCCCCAGCAAGGGTGGACAAGAAAATTGTTAGATAAAATGTTAGGTAGGATACAGCTACAGATGAACAGGGTGGGACAAACCGGCCACGAAATATTACAGTTTGCAAAGTAGGGAGTATCAAGCCCCAGACATTCTGAGAGGTAATTCATTTGGCAAACCACAGCCTTCTGCTCAAAAAGTATCATGCAGGCACTCAGAATCCCTCTCATTCTCATCCTCCACTCCTTCGAAGAGTTCAAGAGAAATTTCTTCACAGTCATTCATTGTGACTCTGTCAGGAAGATTCCATGCAGAGATGGTTCTGGGTAGGTCATTCATTTTAAACTCTCTTATTATAAGCATTCTGGCATCCAGGGCACGGCCTCAGCCCCGGGGGGGATCCCTGGTACCCAGTGGCCAGGCACTCTTCATCCCCTAGAAGTTTAGTGACCTGAATAGGGTTCCGTTCACTTGTTTAAGAACCAGTCTTGGAGACTGACGACTTTGAAAGTCCAGCTGGCTAATGATCCGGGGCTGCTGTGTTTTTGTGGACTCGATTTCTCCTCCAGCTCCTCTGCCCTCATTTCCATCCCCCAACCCCAAATCCCCTTGGTCAGGTAAGGTTTCCTTTTACACTTTGCCCATACTTTCCTGTCTTGCTTACCCATAGCCACAAAGGAAAAAGCCCAATTATTCAATCTCTTTGGTTTTAAGAATTCCACTAAAGGGAAAAGAAAAACAAAATTAAGATTTGGGATTGATTTTTAAAAAGAGAGAGACGTGAAGGTGGAAAATTTTCAAGACTTCTGCAGCCACCTTTAAATAAAAATTGTGGAATAATCGGCGATTCGGAGTTATAAAAGAGAACACTTGGTAGAGTGTGGCAGAATTCCTGCCTTATTCTCAGCTTCCAACAGATAAAATCCTGAAGGCAGGAGATGTAAACAAAAGGGTGACTTAACACAGTACGCTTGGTTTTAAGGATACCTGTCTGCATACTGGTAAGTGGAGTGATCCTTAATTTTCAGACAGGATCTCATTTTAAATGAGGGCAGAGACTCTGCAGGCAGACCAGTTGGCACGCTGTGGTCATTGTTTATGAATCTTTGTAAAAATGGTGATAGCCAAATCCTGCAAGTTGCCTCCAAAGAAGGCACAGCCCCCATTGGACCCCCACGGGAGAGAGGGATGCCTCTTGCCCTCACTTCCCCCCAGAAGTCTGAGCCCTTCAGCCAGCTCCAGGCGCACCAGACCCCAGGGTCTCCGGACTGAAACTGTGAGCCTCCGCGGGGCACGGCCACATGGCCTGCCCTCCAGTCGCCTGGGCTCCCTCCTCCTCCCCCCCACACCCAAAGTCGCCACCCTCAGTCAGGCCCCGAATGGGGCCTTTCGCTGAGTTAATTCTCATCCGACAGTCCAGTCTGGGGAGAGCGTGAGCGGAGGGCGGCCTGCGCAGGGCACACAACCTCAGCACCCCTAAGTCCCCCCTGAAAACCGACTACTGCTTTTGACCTCTAGTTTGCCTTGCAACTAACGGATGAACACGAAACGGTTATTCTATCCCAACTTGTTCCAAAAAAAGAGAAACAAGTCTGGCATTGCAAAGAGGGGTTTCTCTTTCCAAGGCTTTCCTTCCAGCCCACCAACTTTTGTTGCCTATTTGCCAGAATCTGCATTAACACCCTCTTTAGGGCTCTGGGGTTCGTTGTTGTTAACGTATTAGATAGAATTGCTTAAAATATACAAGTGTCCAAGTGGCTGGAACGCCTTTGGGTCACACGCAGCGTTAACTGCCCACTCCACCTCCTAGGAATGAAGGGTGCAGAAGGTGCCTCTCACAACCGTCAGCCGCGTGTGTTCGGGGGCTTGAACCCCATCTCTCTCTCTTACGACGAGCCTACCTTTAGAGATCACAATGTGGGGCTTTGAGAGTAGATTTGGGATGAAATGCCCACAGGGTCCTCCACCTTGGGCTGGCAGCTTAGGAGATTGGGGCCGCAGCGAAGACGCTGCACTGTCCCTCTCTGGCCCCGGTGCCTTCTTCAAGGACAGGACTGCCTTCGGAGAAAGCACGCACTGTCGCTAGCACGGTTGGAGGTGTAGACTTTTGAGTGGTAGGAACCTTTAGATCGGGTCACTGTGGAGGGAAAGGGAAGGCCCAGATGCTTCTCAGGGAGGGGTGAGAAGAGAGCAGGCCGGGGAGCAGACCCGCAGTCCCCGCGTCGCGGCCACGTCTTCAAAAACGCCCACGAGCTCAGGGCCAGGCGCGGCTGTCTGGCCTCTGCGACTCTGGGGGCCCGTCTACCTAGCTACTGGGGGGAGCTCGGCGGTTGCCAGTACTCCTGCCACTGCCCCCACCCCAGCCATCCCAAAGCGGCCCCACGGACCTAGAGGGTACAGGGGCGAGATGAGACATCACCCACTGCGTAGAAGCTGTTGCTGCCGCTGCTGTCACAGGCTCCGGGAGGAACTGACACCGGGCACCGGGGCCGAAAGGTCCCCTCCCGCCGCTTTCCCGGGCTGCGATCGGGTGCGGGGGCGCGGCCCGCGAGCTGCTGCGCGGAAGGAAATCGCCCCGCGCCCGCCTGCGGAGGGCGGCGGAGAGGGAAGGGGGAGGGCAGCGAGGAGGCGGGCAGAGGGGCCGGCCGCCGGAGCCAGGTCGTTTTTGAATGGTTTGGGAGAACGAATTGTTAGACCCTGAGGAAGGGGGGGTGGGGACGGGGAAGGGGGGCTGGAAAGCGGAAACTTTCCTATAAAACTTCGAAAAGTCCCTCCTCCCCACGTCAGGCCAATGACACTGCTGCCCCCAAACTTTCCGCCTGCACGGAGGTATAAGAACCTCCAAGTCTGCCGCTTTCGTCCAACTCCCAGACACCTCGCGGGCTCGCCGGCACCGGCAGCGTTTCCGAGAGGCCGAGCAGGGTGTGCTTGCGGCCGTTGGGCGCCTTCTTTTTGGACCTCGGGGCCATCCACACCGTCCCCTCCCCCTCCCGCCTCCCTCCCCGCCTCCCCCGCGCGCCCTCCCCGCGGAGATCCTCCCCGTCCCTCCTCCCGCTCCGTCCTCGGCGGGCCGCACCGCCCGGGCCGGCGCCGCGCGCGGGGGAAGCTGGCGGGCTGAGGCGCCCGGCTCTCCTCCTTTTCCCGGGCCGCCCCTCTGCCCCGGGCCTGCGAGGCCGCGCGTTGCCACCTGAGAGATGATGCAGGACGTGTCCAGCTCGCCAGTCTCGCCGGCCGACGACAGCCTGAGCAACAGCGAGGAGGAGCCGGACCGGCAGCAGCCGCCGAGCGGCAAGCGCGGGGGGCGCAAGCGGCGCAGCAGCCGGCGCAGCGCGGGCGGCGGCGCGGGGCCCGGCGGGGCCGCGGGCGGGGGCGTCGGAGGCGGCGACGAGCCGGGCAGCCCGGCCCAGGGCAAGCGCGGCAAGAAGTCTGCGGGCGGCGGCGGCGGCGGCGGCGCGGGGGGCGGCGGCGGCAGCAGCAGCGGCGGCGGCAGCCCGCAGTCGTACGAGGAGCTGCAGACGCAGCGGGTCATGGCCAACGTGCGGGAACGCCAGCGCACGCAGTCGCTGAACGAGGCGTTCGCCGCGCTGCGGAAGATCATCCCCACGCTGCCCTCGGATAAGCTGAGCAAGATCCAGACCCTCAAGCTGGCGGCCAGGTACATCGACTTCCTCTACCAGGTCCTCCAGAGCGACGAGCTGGACTCCAAGATGGCAAGCTGCAGCTATGTGGCCCACGAGCGGCTCAGCTACGCCTTCTCGGTCTGGAGGATGGAGGGGGCCTGGTCCATGTCCGCGTCCCACTAGCAGGCGGAGATCCCCACCCCCTCGGCAGGGCCGGAGACCTAGGTAAGGAACCGGCGCCGCTGCGCCCCTTCGCCCTTCCGCCGCTCAGGTGGCAGACAGACTGACGGCCGGGCCGCGGCTCCCCGTCCACCTTGCCTTCCTCAGCTCCCTCTCCCACCCCGCTCTCAGCCTTCCCACCCAGCCGGGCTCCGCCACCTCCACCCCCGAGCTTCCCCGAAAAGCAGGTCGGTCCCCGCTAGGGAGAGGGAGATGCGCCCTGCTGAGGAGTGTACGTGTGCGTGAGTGTGCGTGACAGACAGCAGGGCGGACTGAGAGCGATTCAAGGGTCACGAGTGTAAGGACGGCTTTCTTGCCAGCGCCTCCCTTTCTTCTGGCTTTAAGTTTTCGTTCTCCTTAAAACAAATGCTTCCAAATTCCACCTCCTCCTTCTTTCCGCCCACCCACTTCCTCTTGCCCTTGGGCTGAAATCCTTCCAGGTTGTTCAGCGTAATTTCTCAGTAGTGGTGATAAGAACAGTGCTCACTAGTCTTAGCAAGCAGCCACGAAGACCTAAACAATAACCAACTTTCCCCCCTCTCTGGGTTTTTGCAGATGTCATTGTTTCCAGAGAAGGAGAAAATGGACAGTCTAGAGACTCTGGAGCTGGATAACTAAAACTAAATATATATGCCAAAGATTTTCTTGGAAATTAGAAGAGCAGAACCCAAATTCAAAGAAACAGGGCGTGGGGCGCACTTTTAAAAGAGAAAGCGAGACAGGCCCGTGGACAGTGATTCCCAGACGGGCAGCGGCACCACCCTCACACCTCTACATTCTGATAGAAGTCTGAACAGTTGTTTGTGTTCCTTTTTTTTTTTTTTTGACGAAGAATGTTTTTATTTTTATTTTTTCATGCATGCATTCTCAAGAGGTCGTGCCAATCAGCCACTGAAAGGAAAGGCATCATTATGGACTTTCTCCATTTTAAAATGGTAACAACCAGAGGAATTTTAAGAACGTCTTTAGAAATAAAAATACGGGGATCAAACTGACTTGCAAAATCACAGTCAGTTAATTCCTTTTTACAGCCTTCCTCTGAGAGAAAAAAAAAAAACTTAAAATACAAAAAAACAACATTCTATTTATTTATTGATGACCCATGGTAAATGCAAATAGATCCGGTGTCTAAATGCATTCATATTTTTATGATTGTTTTGTAAATATCTTTGTATATTATTTTTCTGCAATAAATAAATATGATTGAAAATTTTAAGAACCTCAGAGTTTGGTCTATATTTTTAAAGCTCAGGATTAAGCTGGAGGTAAATACCTGCTTGTTTAACTCTGGAGGCACCCAGGAGGGAGGGGGGGCACTAATATAAACAAAGCAGTGAAAAAGGCAAATAAACTAGCTACTGACAGGCACAGGCATGTTATTTAGAAAGACAGCTTTATTATTATTCCAGTTTGGTGTTCAGTGGGCTTTGTAGCATCTATCCTTCATCTCTTATCATGTCCCCAAACGCAAAAACTTATCAAGTTTGTTATTCACTTCTCTTGCTTATATTTTGAGGAGGCAGCTGTAAAACAGTTAAATGCAAATAAGCAATATGAAGCCAGCACTATTTTCTCTTGTTACTGTGTATTTTTGTCATGCCCTCTGCTGTGTGTGAGGATTTCTAAGTAATAGGTTCATTGCACTGAAAGGATGCACGAAGTTATTAAAACGATCTATTTCTGTACACATATAAATCAGTAGGAATGCATAGAAAATAATAAAGTTTAATTCAGCAGTAAAGATAATTCCATTTGCAAAGGAATTTGCCTTTTTTCATGAATGAAAATGATATTTAGCGTCTTGTTTCCTTAAAAGAAAAACCAAAGTTAATATTTTTCCATGTTGATGGTACCATTCAGGAAGCAGTCTCCTTCTTTATATATAAAGAACATACAACTATGGAGTAACATACAATTAAGAACCTGAACTTTCAGTATCTTCAGTAACTATTGGAACAATCACAATTTTAAGTACTAGAGCTATTAATTTTCTACTGAGCCCATTAGCAAATATATTTTATTCAAAATGGGTTTTGAATAAAACCATTTCCCCTGGTTACTTACAGGTATACAAAACCTGAAGTTAAGTAAAACAGTAACAGCAAAACAAATGGGGCTTGATTTTTATTTCATTCTGGTTATTTCTGAGCCAGGAAAATAATGGCTTTTATAACTACTATCATTAGAAGTAGTAACTTTGTATTACTTCTTAACTTTTACATCTAGTTGACTGCATTCAGGTGTAATCAGGGAAGCTTTCAAACTGGAAAATAATTTTGCTGTCTAATTCAAACAATGGCTATGGCAAACAAGTGTATATGAATTCAAACAGATTGTGTTTGCTCGACTCAGATTGAGGTTGTTATTGCCTGAAGGTTTTTGTTTCCCTCCCACACATCATCAGAGAATGCTGACATAACAATATTGTAAATTTACTATTCTGAATATCTTAGACCATGTTTTATGATTAGGAACCTGTAGCATTGACTTACACACTGAGAGATTAGTAAAGGCTTGGGGAATTAATTTTTGATTTTGATAGTCCTTTACCAAATAACTACATGAGCGGGGAAAGTGATTACGTGTGAGTGTACTTGTAGGGTCTGGGTATATTTGTAGAGTGTGTGTGTGTGTGTGTATGTTTGAGAGAGAGAAAGAGAAAGTGTGTGTGCACGCGCGCGCGTGTGTGTGTGTGTGTGTGTGTGTGTGTGTCTAGGGTAGAAATGTAAGGTGGGTACCCTGGAAGGATGAGTGAGAGCATCAGGTTGGTAATTCTCTCTTCTGTGTGTATCATCCTACCACCTCCATTTTCTAAACTGTTCATGGAGGAATCTCCTTGTTCACTAGCTTGGTATGACTATTTGATATTTCAGATTTCTTGGTGTACATCAAGATGGAGCTGACCATCATTGCTGAGAAGGTAATCTCTCTTATCTCTGATGATAGAAAACCCAGAAATTTAAAAAAAAAATTGCCTTTTAAAAATTTTTTGGTGTTTATTATCTTTACATTTCTCAAAAGAGAAAATCCTTTGGAGAAAAGCAAATGCCATATTTATGTTGCTAACCTGAAGATAGTATTTCCCCCTAGATTTTCAGGGAAATAAATAAATGAATGAATGAAAGGTGATGGATAGCTTTACTTTGAATGAGAATAATTCATGGTGGAAATATTAACTATTAGAATAAAATTTTCAGCTTCCATTTGTATTCCCAATGTCCTCCCCCATATATATGCCAATAGTAATTCTTTTTTAGAAGAAAAATAAAGCCACCTGTGTTTCTCTAGCTCTACCGTTATTTCCTGTTTTCATTTTATTTTTGCTACCTATTCTTATATAAAGGACAATTGGAATGAATTACCTCTGCTTCAGAAGTGAGAATTTAATGTGGTGGCTAGACCGGGGAACTCTATCCTTTAGCCAGAATGCATTTCCTGGAGAGAAAATGCTGTATAAAATTGCCTTGGGTGAATTCTAAACTACTGAGTAAGAATGTGCATCTATGTAATTTTTAAAAAAATCTTTTAAATTTTGTTGCATTGATAGCCTTCCCTCATAAGAAAGCAGTACATGTTTGTCCTCATATGAGAACATATGCACACATTTCTAAGCACATGCACACATGATGATTCATGCACAGTTGCAGGTACCGTCCCTAAAGTGGTACATATTGTTAATAAAATAACGTTAAATAGCAGAAACTCACATACTGCATGTACTTTTTTCCCACACTCAACAACGGCACAAACTTCATGATCCTTCAGTCTTCAGGCTCATGTTCATAATAGAGCTTTTTAAGGGACACTTGGCCTCTTGCAAAAAAGTCGAGCATTTTGCACATTCCACGGTTTGGCAAACTCAGAACTGGTTATTTTCTCTAGACCGGTATCAAGTTCTTCTCAGGCATATGATTTCACTTGAAGTCCTGCCCAGGAATCCTTCAAAGTGAGCGTTTGTCCCGCTCTCATGATGTCAGGCGGTTTTCCCTGCATCTGTAATTTGAAGAAAAACAAACAAACCTGCGGGGAACAAACGCCACGGAAACCCAAACAGAACTCCGTGGGGAGCGGGAGTCTCACCTGCGGCGGGCGCGGGAGGGGGGCGCCGGCCCAGACTCCCCTGCGTGGGTGGCGGGCCGGTGCCACACGATGGGGAGAGTGACAATGTCCGTGTCCTCCTCCGACTGCGTGGACGCCCCGGGTCCCGTGCCTGGCTGCTGCGCGGAGGCGGCGGTTCCAAATGTCAGCGGTAGCAAAAGGAGCAGCAGCAACAGAGTCAGGCAAAGGCCCAACCTCAAATTTCCAGAGACAGGCCTGTATTAGCGACAAACAGGGGTCGGGCGGGGGATCCCCAGGGGCCACTTTTCCAGAATTTTCTGCGTGTGTGTCGTAAAGTGTGCCCCACCCCCAGCACCAGCGAAAGTGGAAGGAAAGTGCACCGGCAAAGTGGAAGGAGAAATCGGTCACCTCATAATTTCTCAAAGCCGGCAACCCCACTCTTTCCCAAGTAACTTGGAAACCGAGACCTCGAAAATGCAGACAGGATTATTAATGATCCTTATTTACTGAACAGCAAAAGATAGACCCAGTAAACAGGGCATGGGATACATTTGCCGTTTGCTTTTGTCCCAAGGCCCCAGGACGTGAGCCCACTTAATGTTCTTAGCAAATCAAAGCACGTGTCCTTTGAAGAAGGTGTGTAATTGGAGTTTAAGGCATGTATGGAATTCCCAGATGTCTATAAAGTAAGAAGGAGCATGTGGCAGGTCACTGGAAGGTGGGGCAGGTTAAAATCACTGGCACAAAAATCCCCCCTTTTTACTCTCCTTCTTTATAAGGGCCAGGGAGATAAACCTTGGGGACCGAATGGGACAGGATCATAATAAATATCCAGCTTCTCCTATCAGAGTCCTAGTAACCATGGCAAAAAGCACATGGTCAGAAAACCTCAAGGAAAACACTCAATTATAGCCGGGATTTCGTGAGCGCCCTGCAATGAGATCGTTTGGGGTTTGCTGCAGCGCAGGCCTCGAACGGCTGTCTTTCTTGTTTACGTGGACTGTTTTCTTTTCCTTCCATTCCCCAACCCCTCCAGTTTGTCGATGTGTACTTATGCGTGAACAAAATTCCAGATCAGGAAAAGAAAAAAACATTTCTAAGAACATTCATCCCAAAGGCAGCCTTCTTGGGGGAGGGAGAGATGACGAGCAAGTGAAATTAAATTTCTCTAAAACACGCAGTTTAAACATCTAACAGAGAGAGCGAACGTTCGATGAAAAGACAACCATCAGAATCAGCAGCACTCTTTTTTGATTTCACTGAAGAATGTAGAGATGTATAGGAGACTAAGCGCGAGTTTGAATATTGCTTATTAGGCAGTTTAGTTTTGTTTTGTTTTGTTTTTGGTCTGAAGCCGGAACCGAAGGCAATCCCATTTTCCTCATTGGGTTCAAGATGGTGCCTTCATTTACCTGCACGGCGGAGCCAGAGGCGGGAGATGTAAGGATGGGGTCGCCCAAAAACGCTGGCCTTGGCCAAGGTTGGCGTTGGGAGGGGGGCGATGTGGGGTCCCAGGAGGCTGGGGGCCGGAGCGTGGGGGCTAGAACAAAGCACCA